TGCTGCACGACACATTTTAAACACTCAATGACTTCCTGCTTTCGTTTTGCCTTTTGTAATCTTAACAGCAAAATGAGGCTTTTTAGTTTAATACTTGGTGTTTTTTACATGTTAAGCCTGAGTACATTTTTTTTAAACTTATCCGAACCGACTTAATAAGCGAGCGAAGGAAAGTCACGTTCTTCCACTATTAAAAAGCCACTTCTGCATCTAAACATGGTTTGTTTCGTCAGCCGATGATTCCAAACGCCAAAGAGTTGATTTTTAATGTCATCCAAGGTTTACAATGGCAGCAAATATTTAAAGATTTTAATGATAAATTTTATCAAGAGCCGATCTAGTTAAAGGTCTAATAACCAGCTGAGTTTTGTCACACCGCTGCCGTGTTAACTTTTAATGTCTTTTCTTGCTCAGAATACGATAGACACTCTGAACATGCAGGTGGACCAGTTCGAGAGCGAAGTGGAGTCTCTCTCGGTCCAGACGAGAAAAAAGAAAGGAGACAAGGAGGTCAGTGTGTGCTCTCATCTCTGATTCATTCATTATTTTCTTCTCTACTCGCCTCTGTCGAGGTTCTTTTCCTCTCAGCCTTCTCCCTCGTCTGTTTACAGCTGACACAGATCACTCGGTCAGCCGGCCTTAGCCTTGCAGCCTTTCTCTCTCCTCTTTTATCTCCCTCTCTGCGACAGAGGTCAGATAGTGTGTCCTCCATTCATCTTCTGTCTCCATCCAGACAAGGGCAACTCTCCTGGCTTCTTCTTTCTCTTGGTTTTCGTTTCAAGTCCTCTTCAGGGATCTCATTTATAGAGAAACCTGTGGATGACACAGTGCAGATATTTGCAAAAAGCATGAAAACTTTGAGATTCCATGTTTGAGTTTATAGCTCATGCTGAAGAAAATACTTTTTGTTATGTCACAGAAAGTGTTTGCAGCCGACTTTGTTAGCCTCGCGTTTAGTTGTGAGCACGAATTTTTCGTTTCATAAATGAGACCCAGAGGAGTTTATTTTTATCTGTATCTTGTGCGGTTAGTTTAGCTGGCCAAAAGCGTAGGACCGTCTCTCTCAGCAGAGATCTTCAGAGTTGGTGTTGCACTGTACTGCTGCTGTAAGATTGTGGTTTTCAGACCGAAAAGTTTAAGGCTTAAAATTTCTTCTGGTATAAAACTCTTCACACAGGGTCTCTCTCTCTGTTGTGCTTTGTACTTTGATTTTTAAATGTTCAAGATGCAAGAAGGATGAATTAAAAAAACAACTACAAAGTGTGTGCAGAGATAAAGAGGGGTTCTGTTTAAATCTTACGTTTATAGGCCACAAAGTTGGCTCCTATTAGGACATGTTGCATGTTGCACTGGCCACTTTAATAGGTCCTTATTAATACTGAGCTGGACCTTCTCTTGCCTTCAGAACTGCCCTAATTCTTCATGGCATAGATTCATATATTGACTGCGTCACACAGTTGCTGCAGATCCCCGATATAAATCTACCGTATCCCAGAAGGGAGCTCCATTAGATTGAGATCTGGTGATTGGAGGCCATCTGAGGACAGTGACATGTTCAGAAAATCAGTTTCAGGCTACTCTGCACAAAGAGGAAGTCCTGGCAGTATAAATATTTCTTATTGTTCCCTTTGGATGAAAGAAGTTCATGACTAAAATTTTTAACATGTTTTTTTTATTTTATAATTTACAGGATACCTCTGATGGTGTTTTCCTCTCACTGTGAGGGTGTTGTGTTCTTCCAGCTCTTTTGTTGTCCAGAAACTATTAAAAACTCCTCCGATACACACTGCTGCATTAACATCAGACACACACACACTCTTTATTTTGTTCTGCTGCCCCAAATACTTACTAGAGCACCAAATGTGTTTTAATCTGCAATTGAAAATACTCTGTAACAAATGCACTTTTCCCCTGTTTGAGTAACATTTGCTGCAGACTGCTGTAGCCGGACAGAAGAATTCATACAAAACTCACGACTTATGTTTGTTTTGTTTTTTAATTTTTTTGTTTTTTAGATTAACATTACAATACAATATATTTCGAGTCTTTTAAGGATTTATTGGGATCAAAATAGGGAAACAAAAAATAAAAGAAAACAAGTTGTTTTATTAATGTTAGAGCTAGGGCTGCCACGATTAGTCGACTAGTCACGATTACTATCAAAATCGTCGACGACTGATTTAATAGT